CTACCGCCAAAGCAAAAGAAAAGGGGAAAAGCAAACATAGAAGTGGTTTCACCTGAAATGTAGTTATGATGCAAAAGATATGCATTTTATAAGTTCATTTCATAGCTAATTATCTAGATGGAATTTTATATGTGTTTCTGATGCATGAAAATGTGTGCAAACTATATGGTTAAATTCCTTAATGCATCTAGTTTATTTATAAATTTTCTAGGAATTTTTCTAAGCTAGGAAAGTGGTTTTATAGCCTTCTGTGTACACTAACCGGGTGCACCTAGTATTTTCCTAACTGTACCCAGCTCTGTGTGCGTGTTACGTGTGTGCATGTGTATGATAGGTGGGCCAGGCCGCCACATCAGCGGTGACAGCGCCAGCGGTGTTACGGTCATGGGCCCGTGTGACAAAGGGAGAAAGAGAGAGGGAGAGGACAGGACAGGACGGGACAGTGACGCAACGTCGTTGCCGTCTGGACCCACGATACAGAGAGAGAGAGAAGGGGTGAGGGGAGACAACAACGGCTAGGATGGCCACGCCAGTGATGGAATAGGGGAGAGAGGCGCTGAGCTCGCTGGAGTTGGTTATGCCGGAGACATTGGGCCTCGGTGGTGATGGGTGAAGGGTGGACGGGGCTCGGGTGACCACGTTGTGGCCGGTGGTGGCCCTATCGGCGACAGCGGGTGCCCGAGGTGGTGGCGGCGGCTCGCCAGAAGTTCTGTGGCAGCGCCACTCCACAGAAATAGCTCAAGTGGCCTTAACTAACCTAGCTAACTACACGTGCGTGATCGGGGGTGAAAGGTGAGTGCGACAGGGTACTCTAGAGCTTGATCGAGCCTTGCCATCGGCTAGCCGGTGGGTACGGCTGCATGGCGGAGCGTGGTGCATGGCGGTAGCACTACATAGGGGCCTAGACTACTAACCAGTTAGAGGAAAAGAAGGTGGAGGAGCTCGGGGACTCACCTGCTTACCCAATCGAACAATGGAGCAGCGGAGAGGGAGAAGGAGGAAGGCGACATCAATGGCGCCGGCGGCGCCCGATTCGGGGAAGACCAAAACAGAGGAAGAAGGAGGAGAGGAAAGGGGAGGGGAGGGGGAGATGAGGTGTTCTAGCTCAAGGCAGAGCTAGTGGGGAGGAGCATGAGGTCGAAGCGGCAATGGTTGGGCCTATTTATAGGCCGGCCATGTCAGTTCCGGTGGCGAGATATTTTCTCGCCCGCCGAGATCAACGGGGCACGCACATGTGCCTAATTCCACTAGGTCCGTTCACCATAGTGCGGGCTTTCCCACGCATGCAGCTAGGAGAGCTCGGGCTCATCCATGACAGTACGACGAGGTGAGCTCGCCGCCGCGTGTCGAGGGAGGAGCAGTGAGGAGGGAGTGGAGGGAGGAGAGGTGGTGTGGGGTCGCAAAAAGATCTTCGCGAGCCTTGTTGCATCGTCGAGGCGAGGTGGTGGCAGCGGGGCCAGCTAGCTCGGGCGGTGACGTGGTATTCGCATCGCTGGCCCGAGGTAGACAACGGGCCTAATAGTCAGGTCCCACATGTCAGCGGGCGAGAGAGGGGGAGAGAGGAGCCGGGCGCGGCGTGGGCCATGGTGCGGTGACGGGCTGGCCCAGTTGCGGAGGGGAGAGGGGGAAGAGGGAGAAGGGTTGGGCTGCTGCCGCTGCTGCCGTGGGCCGAGGGGGAGGAATGAGCCCATTGCTCATTTTCCATTTTCCTTTCCTTTTTCTTTTTCCCAGGTTTCCAATTCTATGTTTAAATGCAATTTGAATTCAAATTTGAACATGCATGTATGCAAGGTATGCCACCATATGCTCAAGCAAACAAGCAAACACTCAAGCACACATTTCTACACTATAGTTTTATTTCTATATTGGCCTATTCATTACTAATTACTAGGTTATTTACTTAGGTGATTAGGTTATTAGGCAAAGTTTTAAAAAGTTCAAATTTTTAGTGGTTTTTAAACCAGGTCAAAATTTTATGGTGTTACATTCAGTCTCCACCGAGAAACACACTTCTGCTGCCCCTACTCCACGCCTGGGAGCATCAGAGGTCTAGCGGTGAAGGCAGCGACACTAGATCTGGAGAAGGCCGTGACTGAGGAACCACACTGGAGGTGAAGGGCCCGTGAGGAGCTTCCTGCTTCTAGAATCAAGGTTAGCCTACTTGTGGCATTTGGCTATGCTTCAGTTTAGTGAGAACTTGACTTAAACAACGTTAAAGAAGGTTAATCCAGTTCATTTTAGAGAAAACTTTAGTTTAGTTTTATACTAATAAAAAAAACTTTGGTTGCTTCTCGATCTATCATAGTGTATCTTAAAGATAGTGTATGCTTGATTTTCATGCGGTGTACATTGTATTATGTGCTTGTTTTGTTATCTAAAATAATAGTACACAGAAAATATGATATCTAATATATTAATCTTTCAATACATAACTTATTAACATGTCGAACCGTACATGGATGTATAGTGGTTGGCAGCATGGTAAAGCTCCCTCTAATGTATGGATTAATCAAAGCACTGAGTTCTTGAATCATGCATTAGCATTTCCGAGTGTAGCTCAAAATGGTACCATCAAGTGTCCTTGTGCCAAGTGCCAGAATTATTTTAGACACCCTAGAAATACTATAGAATTGCACCTATGTAGGCATGGTTTTAAGGAAGACTATGCAACATGGACAGAGCATGGAGAGGGGATTGTTAGTCATGCTGAATTGGACAATGCAGCAAATAGAGAGGGTTTTGATGAGACCGACCATATGGATGAAATGTTAGTTGATCTAGCTGGGGCCCATCCACCTGCACTAGATGAACCAACACCATATGCTAAAGCTTTCTATAGGATGGTCGCTAGTGCAGATGAGTTGGTGCATGAGAAAACCAAACACTCATGCATGTCCGCGGTTGCTCGATTGTTTGTTGTAAAGTCAAGATACAACATGTCTATTGCAGAATATGATGACGTCTTAGATTTGTACATGAACTTCTTCCTCCAGATTCTAAGCTACCTAATGACTTCTACCAATCAAGGAAACTATTAGAGGGTCTTGGTATGCCATATGTGAAAATTGATGTTTGCTACAACAATTGCATGCTTTTGTACAAAGATAATAAGAATAAAGAGAAATGTAATTTTTGTGGTGCCAATCGATACGAGGATGGTGGGAAGAAAGTTCCACGCAAAGTTTTGCATTATCTTCCCATCAAAGATAGGCTGCAAAGGTTGTATCTACACACTGAAACAGCCAAACCAATGCATGCACCTAGTCCCTCAACGAGTGGTAAAATGCATGGTGCACCCTTGTGATGGAGAAGCTTGGCAGCAATTTGATAAAGACTACCCTGACTTTGCATCGGATAGAAGAAATGTGCGACTAGCTGTAGCAACTAATGGTTTCACACCATTTAATCTAAATGCTGCTCCTTATTCATGTTGGCCAGTCTTTATGACCCCACTAAACTTGCCTCTTGGCACACTCTCAAGGCATGAGTATATTTTCCTCTCCCTTATTGTTTCTGGTCCTGAGCACCCTAGTAAAAAGTTGAACATTCTAATGCAGCCCTTAGTCAATGAACTTCAGGAACTATGTGTAGGGGTTAATTCTTGGGATACTTCGGTAAAGAAAGAATTTAAATTAAGGGTAGCCTACCTTTGGTCTGTACATGACTTCATGGCATATGGTGACTTTGCTGGATGGAGCACGCATGGTAGATTGGCATGCCCATACGGATATGGGTGCAAAGGTTTCACACTACGTAATGGTCATAAGGCTTGCTGGTTTGATTGCCATAGGAGGTTCCTGCCTATTGATCATGAATTTAGACAACAAGCAAATGCATTCTGTAAGAACACTAGGGTTTTTGATGAGCCTCCTAGTCGCTTAACAGGAGAGGAAATGCAATGCCATTTGGATAGATTTGTAGGTGATTCAGCAACCTATGGAAAATTGCATAATTGGACACATGTACTTTGCTTTAGGCAGCTTCCATATTTCCAGAAGCTTCTTCTACCTCACAATATTGATGTGATTCACAATGAAAAGAATATGGCTAAAGCCATATGGAACACATGCTTCGATATACGAGATAAGACCAAAGATAATGTGAAGGCTAGGCTAGATTTAGCTCTCATTTCTAATCATCCTTCGCTCAATTTGGTGCAAAGTAAGAATGGGAAGTGGGATAGGCCAAGAGGTCCATTCCGCATTGGTAAAGATGACAAGCCAATCATTCTCCAATGGATCCAAGATTGAAAGTTTCCTGATGCATATGCTGCAAACATAAGGCGTGGTGTGAACCTTGTGCAAAAGAGGATTTTAGGCCTAAAAAGTCATGACTACCACATCTTTATTGAATAGTTGCTTCCTGTGGTGTTCTAAAGCTTCTTGCCTGACAATGTATGCCGCTCTTTGGCTGAGCTTAGTTACTTCTATCGCCAATTGTGTGTGAAAGAGCTTAGCAAAGATTTGTCCATTCTCTGGAACAAAATGTTGCAGTGCTTCTTTGCAGATTAGAGAAGATATTCCCTCTTGGTTTCTTCAATGTTATGCAACATTTGATCATCCATCTACCTTATGAGGGAAGATTAGGAGGGCCAGTCCTACCTCGTTGGAGTTATCCATATGAGAGGCAATTATGTAAATAAGTTATGTAAGCTGCTGTCCAAATTAAAGGACCTTAGTTTATTGATCTTGGGTATGTTGTTACTTCATAGGTGTATCCAAAAACTTAAGAAGAAAATCAGAAATAAGGCTCAAGTTGAAGCTACCATGGTTGATGCATTCCTAGTTGAAGAGGTTACAAATAATCTTAGCTTGTATTTTAAATCCACTGCTCCTTCAATAAGAAACAAGATACCTCGCTATGATGATGGTGCATCTACATTTCTAGGTACATGTGACCTTGAAATTTTTAAATGCTCAGGTCGATGCATTAGTCCAAGGGGTATCCGTGATCTCTCAAATGAGTAATACAAGGTTGCTTTCCTGTACATATTAACAAACATGCCTAAGATAGAAGATTTCTTCATGTAAGTTCTAAAAATAACCTAAAAATATGAGGTTTCTTTAGTAGAATTTGTACATATAGGAGATAACAATAAATCTGCTCATGTAGACAATTTGAGAAAGAGCAATGGAAGAGTCGTCTTCCTCCCATAGAACAGCAACTCCGTGATTTAAGGTTAAATGGTTGGAAACATGGCCGTGGCATAGAATCAGGGCCAAATTTTTTTGAATGGTTCAAAAAGAAAGTAATGTTCTTCCCTTGTTCTAAAAAGTCACATTATGCTTACTTAAATTATAAGAAAACTGAAATAAAGTTAACATATAAATTATTCTTTTTCAGTGCCAGAAATCAGCTAGCATTCACAATGTGCTGTGCCAAATGTCTTATGGTTTTCGCACTCAAGTTACCTCATATGGGTGTTATGATATCAATGGATATAGATTTCGCTCTGAGAAATATGAGAAAGGAAGACCAGGGTTAACAACCATTAATACTGGTTTTTGTGTTACTTTATATGATGAATCTAATAACGCTCTTTAGTATTATGCTGTCATAGATGATCCAACACCTAATGGATTGAGGCGCATAGAAGACCTAGGTTTGGTAGAGATAAAGCATGCAGCAAGATTAAAAAGTTTTGACCCATTTGTGATGGCTAGTCAAGTTACTCAAGTTTACTATTTGTCGTACCCATGCAAGAACAAGGAGTTGTCACCATGGTGGGTTGTGTATCAGGTTGCTCCACATGGATGTGTACCCCTAAATACCGATAATATTGAGTCAATGAGTTCTGAAGGGCCAATACATGATGTCTATCAAGAGGAAGGATTAGATGGTACCTTTGTTATTGATTTGGGGGATGCATTGGACACCATAATCTCATTGGGCTCTGACGAGATAGCTAACCCAAAAGACTTAGAAACAATAGAGAAAGCTGCTGTTGAAGATGAAGGATATAATGAAGAAGATATCGAGGAAGAGTACGAAAGCACAGAAGAAGAGGAGGAACTAATGGATGAAGAGGCTGAGGAGACTTATGATCCAAATGATTTCTGATCTAGTCATAAACTGCAATTTGGAAAAACTTGTTCCAATATATAGTCCTAGTAAAAGCAATGTGATGTAATGCAGTTTGCTATGTCTGGCAACAAAAAATGTTGTTAGGACACTTCTTCTATTGTTCAATCTACTATTATTACCTATGTGGACTATTTATTTTTAGCTTGTTGTTCACTTTTTCAATTTATTTGTTGTTTATTTACTTGCTAGTTATTCATTTCATCCATTTACCTTTTGTTCAGACTTACTATACTGGCTATTTATTTCCTGTGTAGACTTAACTTTTGTCCTGGTTATTTATTTCCTATGCTAACTTACTATACTTTTTGTGCAAATGACTTGTGCCATTCGTCATGTTCGAACCAATCGTGCTACTAGCAATCGTGGCTCCCATGGCAGTGCATCTCATGGTACTGGTACAACCTCTGCTAGTGATGCCACCCAAAGGACTAGAGGTGCTCCTCCCCAAGAAGAACCACCTAAAAAAAGAGGAAGGAAGCCAAGCCTGGTACCAAGGTGGCTCTTAAACCAAGTGGTGACGAGTGAGTACATTACTAATTGATGGTTCATGTTATTATAAATATTTGAACACCTCAATACAATAAATATTTGTGACCGCAAGCAGTTTAGCTATGCTAACTATGAGAACAAGAATCCCCCTTACAAATACACGACTCAACTTAGAGTCATTCTTAAGAGAGAATACCCTGGTGTGGTTGAGGACAGAGATGAGAATGATGCACTCATTAGGAAGCGTGCAGCACTGGACTAGGTCGATTATTTTTTTCTAGATCCTGCGAATCAATTGGGAGTGTCAAGTGCAGATCATGTGCTTTCTGAATTTTGGGTAAGCAACACATTATTTTTCAAGTTAGGAGTAGAACTTGCATAAATAAGTTGCTTTTGTTGATCTAGCTTGTCTTGTACACATGCAACGCTTGTTTAAAGTCAGTATAGAAGTCCAAGGAGAGGCTGACCATGTTCTTGACAAATATTTGAAGAAAAGGGTGAAGGACCTGATGTATCAAGCCCTTGTTGATTGTGTGAAGGAGTACTACAGGGATCCCAATGGCAACACAATTGATGATGCACATGCTCATCCAACAGAGCTGCAATATGAACAATACTTGGCTGGTAGGCTGAAGTTGTGTAATGATGAGGTGTGGCCTAAGCTGTGTGCTTATTGGTGCACAGATGATTTCAAGGTAAAACAAGCGAGAGCACAGGAATGTCGCTTCAAATCACAAGATATTGCTCAAAATCATGGAGGATCTAGCCCATTTACGAAGACACAAGTTCTTGTATGCTACCCTTGCTAATGAGTGTCTTGTTATTATATTATATGCTAGAAATATAGGCATGGCCATGTGGTGTTGACTAGAGTTACTAGCTTATGAATGATCTGAAAATGGGTATTTGGCCACTTGTGCTAAGTAGTCGAGGTGCTGATTGTATTTCTGTATGCCATAATCAGCTGTTTTTACTAGAAATCTGCATGTCTACTAGAAATCAGCTTATGAATGATCTGAAAATAGGTATTTGGCCACTTGTGCTAAGTAGTCAGCAAGTTTTGTGTTTCTGTATGCCAAATCTGCATGTTCTGAACAAGTACAGATTAATATTTTTTCTATTTCTTTGCTGATGTTTACATTGGAAACCTATTCTATATTTATAGGAAAAGAACTTTGGTCCAGCAAAGGCAACACCTATGAACACATTTGCTATGATGAAATCTGGTTTCAAAAGTGTGGATAGCACTGGCAGTAGTGGTCCAATTAGTAGTCAAAAAACACAAAAGCTCATTGTAAGCACGCTCTACTTTGATGTATGGAAACCATTTACTTTTTGGATTCTCCTTTTATAGTGCAAGTGACTACTTTAAGTATGAACATTGTTTCTAGGATGACTATATGCCAGCTGTTAGGAGGGTTGCACATCCAAATGAAGTGGATGGAGAGCATGAGCACATGGAAGGGGAAGGGGATGTGGAAGAGGAAAGCCAGCAAGTGCATGAGCAAGAATTGAATGGCAAGGTCTTGTATGACCTCTCTGGTGGCACACCCCATGGACGATTTGCCATTGCAAATGGTGATGTTAGGGCAGCTGATATCAGGGCAACCACGAAGGAAAACAATATCCGTCCATCAAATTCAGTTTCTTTGCAAAGCATGGCACGAGAAGCTGCACACCTATGACGTGAAAATACAAGGCTACAACATGAAAAGGACAGTGCAGGCAAAGTAGCAATAGGCTTGATAGTGGTACGTGCAAATATCTGAACCTATAATTTGTTGTTTCGAACAACATTTGTTCACATTAACAAGAGGTACATGTTCGTGTACAGCGACTTTATCGACGCCTAGGCGAGGAAGTTCTAGAGGAAGCGCTAAGCATTCTATCGGCAACACAACCAACTGTGAGTATATAAACAATATTCTATTAGCTGTAAACCATAGGTGGAAAATAATAAAAGTGAAGGGAATTTTACTCTCTATTGTGTGGCATACAATTTAGGCATTTGGCTCCTATGTAAGATTGTTTTAGTTAGCCTAACTAGAGCTTTATGGTATTCAGCATGGCAGTACCCAGTGCACCAGTGTGGAAGTGGCCTCATGTTGATTCTTTTGTAGCTATGGACTTTAGTTGCACAGAATCATGTAACACTGAGACTCCAATGTTCACTTCTCGTGGTAAGGTAGACATTCACACTATTTTGGTTTTGAAGAACTGGGAAGAATTAGTATGTTATGCAAATAGAGCAACACGGTTTTCTGTTAGTTGAACAGATTCTGGACTAGTGATATTAAAATAATTAGTAAGCTATTAACATATCTACCTTGGTCAGTAACACATTGTTAGCTGAACATCTTTTGTTTTCAGTTAAAACATTTATTTCCAGCATGTTTTCTAAAATCCAAACAAGAGGTAGGAGACTATTTGTTTTCACTGGAGCTCTACCTGCACTTTCTCTTCTCCTCTCTAGAAGCTACAATTTTGCTAATTTCCCTTATACCCAATCTGACTTGTGCTATAATGCACCTCCCCCTGTAAAGTAGGCTTCCTCTTTTCAAATCCAAATGGCTTCAGATTCAAACCAACCAGCAGCTGCTCACCAAGAAGCCGCCCTTCCTTGCTTCTTCTCCCCATCAATCAACCCAACAGCTATTTCCTCTTCCTCCTTTGCTACCTTGCACAACAAAGAACCCAGTAGAGAGCACTTTCCCTTCACCACTTGGTAATACACGCAGCTGCCCTTTTTACAGGAACATAACTAGTACTGCTGGTCTACTCTCTCCACCCAAAACAAATCGAGGGGCAAATTTCCCAAAAGATTACCTTCCTGCAGCAATCACGACTCAATCTGAGCACCGCTGCTGTACCCAATCTGCTCCTCTGCTTCTTCTTCTTCTTCTGCATACACATAACCCAACACTATTGCTAGAATTAATAATCTTGAACTTATTCACATGCAGCCGGTCACTAATAATCTTGAACTTATTCACATGCAGCTGGTGACTATTAATCTTGAACTTATTCACATCCCATGTGGGTTCCGAATCGACTAACGACGATGTTGCAACAAACGAGGGACTCCATGGTGGAAGTAGAGTTGCATTGGAAACCAGGAACTATCATAATGAAGCCACATGTGCAGGTGTTGGGGCTGGTGCTGGTCTCACTTAATACTGAATGGTTGTGTAGCATGTTGCTTGTTTCATATTTTGAAGTGTTTGCCTCTGCATACACTTAGATTGGTACTAACCTTCAGCTAGTTCTTAGTGGTGTGAATGTTGAGCTAGTACTAACCTTTAGCTAGAACTCTTTTGAAGTGTTTGCCTCTGCATACACTTAGGTTGGTACTAACCTTTAGCTAGTACTTAGTGGTGTAGTTGTTGAGCTAGTACTAACCTTTAGCTAGTATTGGTAGTGTGGAAGAGACTACTATGTTGATGCCAAATGTTTGGAGAAGTTTTTTTTGGATAGATGGGTGCTAAATATTTGGACATCTTATGTATTTACCAATGTTGATGCAAACAAGACATCTATGTATGTAATGGATTTATGCTAGACTAATCTATCTATATACATGATGGTGCATTATATTTATGTTGGCATATCTCCATGATTCTATGTATATTATATTAAATATATTTCTTTTAAATTATATGGAAAAGGCTATTATGTCATTTTTCTATGGATGGTATTTTTCCTGGCGGTTTAACACCGACAGGGAAAAGATTCTCCTGATAGTCTTCTGGCATCAGGGAAAATATCACTGACAGGAAAAATATATTACCCTGATGGCTAGAAGTCGACAGCGAAAACAAACACCGACAGGGAAAATACATTTTTTTGACGGTTTGTCGACCGACAGGGTAAATGTCCTTATATCCTGTCGGATTTACACTGCCAAGGACATTATTTTCCCTGTCGGTAGTCTACATTTTTTTGGCGGTTTTAACTGACAGAGAAAATGTATTTTCCCTGACGGTTTTGGAATTTTCCTGCGGGTTCTTCACCGACAGGCAAAAGAAGATGAATTTCCCTAACGGTTAACCGTCAGGTATTTTGCAATTTCCCTGTCGAGATAGCCCTAACGGTTATTCCCTAACGGTACACCGCCAGGGAAATTAGATTTCAATTTTCCTGACGGTTTTTACAATTTTCCTGATGGTAATCGTACCGTCAGGGAATTTTGTCTTTCCAGTACTGCTAGGTGATGTCGATCACCAAGAGTAACAAGCACAAACTCTCACTTGACCTAATCAAGCCTAATGAGAAGAGTGGATGCACACTTGCTACTCTCCAAGCATTAATGGTGTCCTTAATCTTGAATTAGCAAATCCAAATCACTCCAATAGGCCAAGCCTCTCCCTTAGACACACAAGGGTGTAGGTGAAACTTCATAATGCCAAGAGAGCCTTAATGCACGAGATGGAGGGGTATTTATAGCCCCAAGCCAAGGAATTATCCCTTGCCCCTCCACTCATAGAAAA